ACATAAAATTACTAAGTTGAAAATACTTTATGAAAATACTAAAAAAGTACTTTTTTTAGTTCACAGAAGCAGTTATTTAATAACAGGTATAAGTGTTTTTAATAATAACTAGGCCTCCGCCCCTCTTGGAGAGCCTGGCAAGCTACGGAGAGTATATCGCCTATACGGCAAAGCCTGGCAAACTACCCGTGACGTATTCAATATGCCTAACACAGTAACAAGTCTCACAACGTTACTGGGCCCACTTGAGCAAATCAATGAACAACAGGAGGACAGTGACAGTGACAGGTCTTTCTATTATAAAAACTGGAATCACTGTCACTTCAATATTAAAACCCCGTGTGAAACATGTACTTATGATTATAAAACATCAGAATGTAATTGAAACACACTCCCCTACTAAGAACTTTTTTAATAATCAAATGTGGCAATGAACAGGAATGAAAAAGGAGTGCTATTTGTCCAACAACACTTAACTGCACGCCCCCATCCCCCATCAGGAAAAGAAACCAACTCTATAGAATCTGACACAGTGCAACAAGTGGCAGAGTTTCATATTTATGAATCCCTCACATGCTTGTGATCCTACAGAAGAGGCTAGACTCAAGAAAAGTTGCTCTGTATTTTCTGGGGTACTCCTTTGGGAGCCTAGTAAAATCCATGTGCTTTCGCCCAGAAAATGACTTGCAAATGGAAATTTTTACCCTGGAGTCTGTTTATTCTTTTGCATAAAAATGGGAGTAATGATAATTACCTATCACGACATTGGGGGGATGCTATTACTGAAAAAGAATAGTTAAAAGCATTTTGTAAATTATAAAGATTGATACCATCATTACTTCTATAAGTGGCTTAGGAGTAACTCTACAAAATAATTTGATAGAAAAGTTGAAGAAAAGTTGAAGTACTTTCATTTTGTACTCACAGTTGTCTACAATAGCCACTCATAAGAAATGGTTAATGGGTCTCAAGAGACCCTAGGAAGGAGGCTTTGGTTCCAATCGACTTGCATTCAGCACCATTACGTGGGTACAAAGCATATGAAAGGCAAGTCAGCCCAAAGAATATCCAACTAATTCACTCCTTTATCAATTTTATAACCAAAGGAAATGGTGAACTGGCATTTAAGCATTCCCCTAAGCAGCATTAACTACCATCAGTGGCCGGGCAGCTGTCTAGAACATACCCAGAAGAACACAGGGGCACCTAAAATCCAAACAACCTCAGGGAAGCTTATACCGAGCTCATGCTAGGTTAGATAAAGTAAAAGTTTCAAATGAGAAAAAAAAAATACCACCTTGAAGAGAATGTGACTGCCTGTCAATCCCAAGCAAATGTGCACAAATAAGCAGCACAAGAAACATGGTCACGGGTGATTCTGCAGTTGGCTGGCACTAAGCTGAGCTATCTTCGAGGGACCTTCAAGGAGATACTTGCAATACTGCCATGACTCAGAGTCTCTAAACCACTGTCCCTGGCTGTCTCAGGCTGCTCCTCTCTCTTGTTAGGTGACAGGTAGCAGCATGCACAGTGGCAGTTCATTCATATTTCCAGGAGCCAAGCATCTGCTTTTATAACCCTGGCGCCCGCCAGGGAGCTGGTGTCTGTGCTTTTGAGTCTTGCCCTAGAGCAGAAAGGCGGGAACATGCTTGACAATGCAAGAGCCCTAAACACAGAGATTAAATTCTCTTATATCTGTAAGAAGTTCCCTGTACCCAGAAAAAAAAAAAAAGGAAACAAAGCATATGAAGCAGGGATTTGAAATTCTACAGGCATCTGGAAAAAGAGTTGAAGGGAAGCAAACAGTATTTGTGCTGTGGGAGGGGAGTTCTGATGGTACCCATCAACACTGGCATTTTAGCAACAGAGAGGCAGTACAGGGGTTAAGGTCATGCCTTGCAGGCAGTTGACCCCAATTTGATCCCAGCACTGATATGGCCCTTTGAGCACTACCAGTTCTTGTTCCTGAACACAAAACTAGGAACAGTCTCTGAAGCAACACCAGATACAGTCAAACTGTCCTCCCTTCTACCTCAAATAAAGCTGGCATTCAGTGGTATTAAATTAAGCAAGTGGCATTAAATAAAGCATGTGATACATCTTACTTCTTTCAAGTCTATTTCTAGAGAGGGACATAAAAGTAAGGCAGACTCAAATTTAAAAAAAAAAATCACAATTTTACTTAAGTAAAGGTTTAGCACTTGCATTCTAGATTCAAAATCAAAATCATCCCCTCCAGGATGCTGTGGTTTCGTGCTATTTAACATTTAAGAATGGAGTCAAATTCAAGTGACTGTCCTACAAGTTGCTGCTGGAATCAAACAGTAATTCCTGAGTCATCTAATCTTTGACTCCATATTTCGAGGAAGGCCCAGAAGCCGCTGAGTGGTTTACAGACAACTCAATTCAGCATAATTGATACTTGCTTAAAGGGAAACACGATCATCCTTACTATTGCTAACATCCCATTAAGACTAAAAGTTAATTAGGCTGTGTTCCATAAAGTCAATTTGAGGCATTTGTCTCAATAGCATTATTGTAATTATTCCTCATCAGAATGACTACCACCTCCTACTGCGCGCCAATGTCTTATGTAAACAACAGCAAAAATCCAACAACTCACATTCCATTCTCCACCTGAGTTATTCAAGAAAGGTTATATTTATATAGATTTGAAAGCAGGGATTCACAGACATCAACACGTTTTTAAAAATACAAAGGCAGGTTTAAGATAACTTTAAGTTCCTAAAGGTCAGGAAAGTAAAAGCCAACTAAATAGCAGATTTTACATATCATACAATACAAATGAAAGTAAAAAGGAGATGTGAACATTAGCACATATGGGGGGGCGGGGGCGCCTGTATGCTGTCCAAATGAGCACAGGCTACTGGGTACACACGTGTGCCCTAGACTCTCTCCACCTCCATGCCACGACTGTGCTTCCAGCCACATTCAAAAGGTGCTGGGAAGAGTTCCAGCACAGAAAAGCAGCAGGAGCACTAGCATTCCCTGGGCACATTAATGTGATAAAGAGAGAGGGTGGTTTTCAAGGTAAATTTTTACTCATGCCCCAGATTTAAACATACTTAAAAAATTATCTAAAACTAGTGTTTTAAAAAGCATTTAATAAAATACAAGAAAATTTGTGAAACAAATGCACAAAAATCCAAGAGCAATTTATCATATACAGAGAACTACATATCATATAGTTATCATCTTCTAAATATTAATATCAGATCTTAAAAATTATGGTTCAGGGCTACTGAAATAGTTCTAACAGCTGGAGCACATGTGGATCTCCAGGTTTGATCCCTGTTACTGCACAGTTCCCTGACCACTTCCAGGAGTGATTTCCAAGTACCAAGTCGGGAGTAGCCCCTGAACATCACTGGTTTGCTTGCACAACCAAGTTTTTTTTTTAAAAAAAATTAAATTAAAATTATGCTCAGGAGTGAAACTAAACTTTGAACTTACTCTATTTGTACTTTTCCACAGAAGAGCGGCCTAATAATGTAATGATAATGTTGGCATGAGGAGAAAGTTACAAGGAATGGGGAATGGAAAAGTGTGTAACTCAGAATTGCAGACAAACCCCACAGTTTGATCATGGACATGGATAAAGTTTCCTTCAAGAACAGTGGCTCTCCACTCTTTACAATAGCCAGAATCTGGAAAAAACCTGAGTGCCCGAGAACAGATGACTGGTTGAAGAAACTCTGGCACATTTACACAATGGAGTACTATGTAGCTGTTAGAAAAGACGAAGTCATGAAGTTTACATACAAGTGGTACTACATGGAAAGTATCATGTTAAGCGAAATGACTCAGAAAGAAAGGGATAGAGATAGAAAGATTGCATTCATCTGGGGAACATAAAGTAACAAAATAGGAAACTAACACCCAAGTATGGCAGAGATTAGTACCAGGAATTTTACTCAATGACCCGGAGGACAACCACACATGTTAGGGTAAGGGGGAGCTCAGAAAGAGAAGGGAACACCAAATAAAGGGTGTTGGGAGGATCCGCCCACGATGGGAGAGCATGCTGAGGGTAGACTGTCGACCAAGCATGATTGCCACTCAATGCCTCTTTTGCAGACCATGGCACTCAAAAGGAGAGAGAGGAAAATGCCCTGCCACAGAGGCAGGGTGGGATGGGGGCTGGGCGGGGGAGGGGATGCTGGGGTCCGTGGTGGTGGGAAATGCACACTGGTGGAGGGATGGGTGTTGATCATTGTATAATCAAAACCCAAGCACAAAAATGTGTAAGTCTACAACTGTACCTCATGGTGCCTCACTATTAAAAAATAAATAAATGCAATAAAAAAAAAACAAAAGAACAGTGGCTCTCATACTTGGCTGCACATCTGAGGCCCCTAGGAAATTTACTATCCCAATACTCAGGTTGCCAGCAATATTCTCATTTCAAGAGCGTGGACCAAAGCAACAGTACCAGAACCAGTGTGTTGTATAAGGAATAACTTAGGTGAAATGGTTCACTAGCTAAACATTAATAATGATATCTGTCCACTCCTCAGGTATAAAGAGAATGCTGGTCAACAGTAGTGGAATGTGGGGTCAGAGAGAGACAGTACAGGGGTTTAAATGCATGCCTTAACCAACCTCAGTTGGATCTGCAGCACAGTATGCCTGGCACTACATGGTCGTCTTAAGACTCCCCAGCACCATCTCTAATCCCTGGCACACAGGAACTGAGCAACACCACATCCTCGTTTTCTGACCAAACCACCCACCCAGTTGGGTGACAATTGCAGGAGTGGCAAAAACAAAAAAGCAGTCATGGAAACAGACAGAAATCAAAATTTTAAGTTCCAGTTTTGCACTTTCTCACTGAAGCAACCTTTTGGGGAAATAACTGAATTTCCAAGGGTCTCTATTAGATATGAAGAACATCTACAAAGAGTTCATTTAATCCCATAACCATCACTGAGCTCTCTCTCCATCCCTTACTCTTTTTAACCCTTTTGTGCCAGACCCACCAGCAAAAACTGAGTAAATTCCGCATAAGTCAGGTGTCTTTTTCTTTCTTTTCCAAAATGGAGTTGCACGAATTCTGAATCCCAGTTAAATGGAATATGTTGATGAATTGTGGTCTGTCCAAAGACCTGCTTAACATCCTCTGAAAAGAGAAAAATATATATATTGATTAGAACAAAGCAAATCATGCTATTCCTTAAAAAATCTGATATAGTTCAAAGGGCTGAGACATACATAGGGTTCAGTTCCTGGTACCATGTGGGTCTCTGAGTACTATGAGGAACACCCTACAAACACTGCTGGGTGTGACATAAATGATAAAATCATTTTTAAGTTCAGTATTAAATGAATATCCCAATTTCCTTCTTTTTAAAGTATAATTCACTTTAGTAATCTATGAACAATTTATAAATGGTAAATTCTAAAGACACATTTCAAAAGGTACCCCAAAAAGTTACTGGCACTCACTCGAGCAAATCGATGAGCAATGGGATAAAAAGTGATACAGGTGATACAAGTGATAGCCCAAAAAATGAAAAATGTTAATGAACAGAACCTAAGGCATCATGAGGATAATATAGATAATATAAATTTACAATAAGAAGGAAAGTAGGGGCTGGAGCGATAACACAGCAAGTAGGGCATTTGCCTTGCACGCGGCCAACCTGGGTTTGATTCCCAGCATCCCATATGGCCCCCTGAGCACCTCCAGGAGTAATTCCTGAGTGCAGAGCTACGAGTAACTCCTGTGCATTGCTGGGTGTGACCCAAAAAGAAAAAGAAATAAAAAAAGAAGGAAAGTAAAAGTTCCACATGCTTTCAGAAGTCATCAGAGTCAACTTCTTTGGTTATATTCAATGCATGACAATAGGATCAATCTCTATGTTTTCAGCTTTAAACATGCACACAGTATTTGGCCAGAGAGATAACAAAGCAGGTTTGTTTTACATACAGCAGAACCGAGTTCAATCCCTGGCACCCCATATGATCCCCCACGCCCCTCCATTAGTGATTCCTGTGCAGAGAATCCAGAGTAAACTCTGAGCTCTGCTGGATGTGGCCCCCAAACCACTAAATAATTTTTTAAAAATCCACATATTGTAAAACTAAAGCAGAAGTAAGTCTGAATTCTTGAAGGATAAGTAGAAAGAAAGAAAGAAGGAAGGAAGGAAGGAAGGAAGGAAGGAAGGAAGGAAGGAAGGAAGGAAGGAAAGAAATTTAATAAGCCCAATGCCAAAGCAATGGTACAGCATGTAGGGTGTTTGCCTTGCATGAACCTGACCCAGTTCATTCCCTGGCACCATATATGGTCCCTGGGGCCCTGCCAGGCATGACCCCTAAGCACAGAACCAGGAGTAAGCACCATGCACTGATGAGTTGGCTCCAAAACAAAAACAAAAATTTAAAAAAATAAAAGAAGGCAAGAAGAAGTCACACACAGAAGGAAGCAAGCAAGCAAGAAAACACATGAAAAACAGTAAAATACCAACCTCAACCCAAAGCAAAAAGCTAAATCTAACATCATCTCATTTGTTTTGTCAACGACTACTTGCTAGGCACAGGAAATATAGTAATGTTAAGTGGCAAGAAATAGACATAGAGAAACACATAGACTACTACCTAACTCTTAAACATGGCCCTTTATCAATTCATTAGAAAGTCTTTGAGATTTAAAAGGAAGTGGATACATTTAAGGACATATTCAAGAACCCACACTGGGGCTTTAAAAAACACTCTTTATCAAACCACACTTGCAGACAAAGACGATGGGAAGAAAAGTTTTATACTTTAAACTGTACACCTTTGGCCAGACAGACATTCTAAAATCGGCGAGGCAATGCCATTTTATAACTGAATATCCTACTGCTCACGTTATCACTGTTCTACTATCAGAACTGTTGGTATATTTTATTTTCCCTGGTCATGTATTGTGCAGTATTGCCAAGCATTCTTTTATAGTGTGGAAGCTCAGCTCCACCTATGCCTGCTTCTGGTTTTCTGAGCTGTACTGGTCAGGAGGTAGCTTCTTTCTCATCCCCAGTCTAGTCTTCACCTCTCCTATAGGGGTGAAGTACTGTGCTTGAAGCTTTTCAAATTATTGTTTATTTTTATTTATTTATCTTTATGCCCACTGGAGCGATAGCACAGCGGTAGGGCATTTGCCTTGAGTGCAGCGGCCCGGCCAAGCCGGTTCAATTCCTCCAACCCTCTCGGAAAGTCCGGCAAGCTACGAGAGTATCTCGCCCACATGGCAAAGCCTAGCAAGCTACCCGTGACATATTCGATATACCAAACACAGTAACAAGAAGTCTCACAATGGAGACATTACTGGGCCGCCTGAGCATATCAATGAACAATGGGAGGACAGTGATACAGTGATACAGTGATCTTTATGCCATACCTGACAATGCTCAGGGTTTACTCCTGGCTCTGCACTCAGGAATTACTCCTGGTCATGCTTGGGAGACCATGTGGGATGCTGGGGACTGCACCTGGGTCAGCAGCATACAAGGCAAGTGCCCTACCCACTGTACTATAGCTCCAGCCACAAGGCTTTTCAAATTCTAAAGATTTTTTTGCTCCCCCTAGCTGTCTCCTGTGGTTAAAGTGCCAAAACAGGCTCTACATCACAATTTGCCCCAAGATGAAAGGTTGAAAAGCCTTTTGGTTATTACCCTGTGCTTGAGAAGCCTACCTCCCTGTTTTAGGTGGGTGAGCATAGATCTCTCCCATTCAAATGTCACAATACCCTGCGCTTGAAGAAACAGACCTGCTTTTCAGAAGCACAGTTCATGCATTATAATCCTTTTCCTGCTGTCTTACTACTATTAATTCTTCACCTTGTTTTACTCTCAACTACAAAACCAAAAGAGGATTCCTAGGAAAAATAACATGGAAAACATTACTTGTCTCAAGCTTCAGGCTTTTGGTCATTACTCATCTCCTCACAACAAAATTGTCTGCTTTTTTAGACTGAAGTGTTTCCAAAAGTAGATGTTATCACCCACTAACGAAAACTGAAACAGTGTGTGTGTGTGTGTGTGTGTGTGTGTGTGTGTGTGTGTGTGTGTGTGTATGCAGAGATGGGGGGGATGAGGAAGGCAGGCACTGGCGGGGGGGGGGTGCAGTTTTAGATGCAACTGTGGGTGTATTCTGTTTAGTCATTTTAAAAATGGTAGACTGGAGGGGGCAGATTCGGGGGTGGGGGGATGGATAGTACAGGCTTAAGACATTTGCTTTTCATGCAGATTTCTTGCTTTTCTGGTTCAAATCTCAGGCACTACATATGGTCCCTCAGCAGAACCAGGAATAGCCCTGAGTACTCTTAGATAAGGCCCCTCCAGAAAAACTAAGGTAGATTTGGAGAGTGATGCTGAAGAGGAGGTGATAGGCCAAAAAAGTTTAGGAACATCTGATTCAGAGGGTAGAGAAAATAATTAGTAATAGGTCAATAAATTCTGACCTGGTCAGCATATCTAAATATATCTATCAAGCCTGGTCATATTTATAAGTAAACAGTGCCCAAGACATTGGATTTCCCTGTCCCCAACACCTATTTAAAGAAAGAAAAAAGCAAATTCTTAAGTCCTCTAATAGGTGCCAAAAATTTGGGCATATATTTCCACTGTTTCCCTCAAAGTTCCTATTTCTGCCCTCACCACACCCATAAGCTCTTTTAATATTTCCAGAAAATTTTAAGTCTTGTCATGAAGAAACAGTAATCTCACATCACTGTAATGTGGGGTGTGTGCTTATACAGAAAAGACGGTAAATACCAGAATTATGCTGGGCACTAATTTCATAAAAGGGAGCAGAAAACCTCAGGTTGGCCTTGATGAGGGCAATAAAAAAAGTTTAAGAGCATAACATTTAACTTCTTTAGTGTTGTAATGAAAGACTGAATTTATTCTGCATCTCTCTACTTCTAGGGGGAAATGTTAAAAGATACAGGAAGAACAAATGAAGCAAATCAAGAATTGGGATTCAGAAGAAAAACAAAGTTCATGTTCCTAGAGGAACTGAGAAGGTGGGGGGTAAGGTAAGTCATTAATGAAATGATCAAAGCAGAATGCAACCACATTAAAGTTTTCTTCTCAATCTCAAACTTGAGAAATACCAAACTGAAAGTGGAATTAACCTGGGTTCAAATTCTATTAAAAGTAGCTAAAATTCCTTAGGGACATTTTATGCCAGATGTTGAGTTTTAACTGTATGTGTGAGCCCTTTAGTGGTCTAACAGATAATATCCTAGATCATCCAAAGTGCCTCAGTCTAAATTTCCTATGCCTCTGGATGAAGTAGTTACAACGGAGATTCAACAAAAGCATCTACTGGTCTAAAACAATATGTGTGCATGAATATATATATATATATATACATACACACACACACATAATGAGAAGTGATGTTCAATTAACAACAACTTTTTTTGCACCATAAAGTTTTACAATAGTAAAATTTTAGAGAGATAATAAGCAAAACAGCTTTTGGGTCATTTTTTTCTGCCAAGCACTCTGGTGAAATAAGGATTTCTTTCTGCCAAGAACTCTGGTGAAATAAAGTTTTAATATAATAATTGCAGGATAACTGTCAAAAAAGAAGTCCTTTTCTTGACCTCTCCTTCAAGGTCCCATTAAAAGTAATAGGAGGCAACACGTAAATATTGTTTGGCATATAAAGCTAAGGCATGCAGCCATTTTAGTATTTGAATAGTTTATAAAAGTCATTCAAAACTCAGTGAATGAATCTAACATGTGCCTATTTCACCCAACTAACATTCTTATTTTTCCTATAATTAAACTAACCTTTTACTGCTTTTCAGAGCTCTACATTAAATTCAGAGTCATGAACTTTGAACTCTTTGTCTAAAGCATTTTTCTCTTCTCTGTAGACTTGTCTCTTTTATCAAAATGCTTGTCTGAAGCTTTGAAATTTAGATTTTCCAAAGAGCTATATGTAAACCCTAAGATATAACCAAAAAAATTGCAAATCTTTTTGATCTGAGATATTGAGAATGATCAACCTATTCGTATTTTTAAAAGATTTCTTGGCATAGGTATGCATTAACGAGAGCCCGGCAAGCTACTGAGAGTATCTCACCTGCACAGTAAAGCCTGGCAAGCTACCCGTGATGTATTCGAT